TGTCTCTTTTTTTCTCTCTCTCTCTCTCTCTCTCTCTCTCTCTCTCTCTCTCTCTCTCTCTCTCTCTCTCTCTCTCTCTCTCTCTCTCTCTCTCATTATGTGCTTTCAAAGCACTAATATCTAATTGAGAAGCACCTTTGTTTTTTTGTTTTATTTTTTGACAAATGAATAGAAACTATGGGGGCAGCACGTAGTAAAAAATAGTGGTCAGCAATCTGCCTCACAAACTGTGCTCTTCTAAATTTTCCGTAGGTTTCAAATGAAGAGTATGAATGATTGTTTGACTACGTGCGTCCAACGATTGGCTGGCGACCAGTCCAAGGCGACCCTGCTTCTCACCAAAAGTAAGGTGAAATAGTCTCAATCTTGTGCATGACCTGAATGAGGATAAGGAGAATATGCCTGTTTTCCAATGATTGAAAAGCCAATAATAAGGATAATGAGGAGACACGAACACCTGGTACCTCTAATTACAAAATTAATTGGTTCTGGAAGACATTTCTTAACAAGAAAATTTTGTAAGTAGAGATGCATTTTCCATGTAAATGCCCTAATTCGTTCCAGGACACCAAAAAAAAAATGCATCAGAATATGTAACATGTTACAATTAGATTATTGCACAATAAATGAGAGTTGTGCATAATATAAAAAACAAAGAATAAGGAATAAAAATGTTGGTCATTTAACTTTTAACTGCGTCCTCATCATTTTTTTTTTTGCCCTCTTTAGTTCATGTTCTCTCTCAGAAGTGGTTTTTACCTGGCGTTTTGGAAAGAACTGATCTAAAGATGTTTGCTTTTGTCAGCTTTTAACAATCCTTCGAAAATGTCCAAGGCAAACATCAGCATAGTGAGCGATCGCCGGACTGGTCAACACTTTTTCTGGGTGATTCACATTTCCGAAAAACCATCCATCCGCCTCGTGGCCCGAGGGGCGAATGACGAGGACGCTGCATAGACACATTCTATCCACACACACACACACACACACACACACACACACACACACACACGCACACACACACTTACACATGGTCGAAGTCCCTCTTAGCCAATGGGATGCCAGGAAGATGCTAGCTAGGTAATAGCCACTGGCAGAGCAGTTATAAGTATGTTGCGTTAAGGAAACTCGGAGCTGCGAGTACCAGCCTGTACTGTACTGTATTGTTACTTTTCCATCCAACATTGGACCAATATATATTGAATAAAATGAAAACCATATGAAAGTGGGACATAGTAGTAGGTACTATTCACTTAGATGATTGCATCTGGATAAAATGCTTCGTTCTTAAGCGTCGCCCGAAGAGCACCATGGTGTGGTGACTGCCATTTTCTGTGCAATGTCTGTTTTATGCCCAGTCTACCCATTTAATCTGCTGTCTGTGCCTCTCTTGTGTTGCTGCAAAAGGGTGGTAAGATTTAGTGGCTCGTGGGTGTGGGGGGGGTCGTTTTCAGCCTACAGAACCCCTCTTTGTTCCACAGCACAGAGGTAAAATGAGCCGGTGCCATTCACTCTTTGAACATGGCATTGTGTGATCCTGCACACGTTCAACTTGCTCCTTCTCAGTCCAGATACGATGGCATCATGTGTAAATCAATGCATGAAATGGAGGTGTAAATTATTTTTGTGTCTGCTGGCGTGCCGGTGGTGAGCAGGTATCAGACACAGTTTTACAGACAAGGATCAAACATATCACAGCCATGATATATTTTCCCTTGATTCTGATTCAATAAATGTCTTCTTACCTATAGTTCAGGGGTTCTCAAACATGGGTGTTTTGAATTTTGAAATTACCGTGAGCAACATTCATAAACTTATTTGATAGTTACAAAATATCTTGCTCAATGCATAAAGTCAATTATAATTTCTTTCATCATCTTAAAAGGATTAAACATATGATGTGAGATGGGATGTGAGAGCATATTGAAAGTTTTCAATTAAAAATGATAGAAATGATTGCTGAACTTGGGCCTGTCTCGACATACCAAACAGAGATGCGTATTTCCACCAACAGTCAGTCGCAGAGCAATAGCTCACTCAACGGACTTCCCAACAGGCAAGCCGGGTTCATTTCCCACTCGGTGGTGGTCTGGATGTGAGTGTGAATTGTTACGTGTTGCCCACTGACAGATGAACAGTCCAGGGTGTGGTCTGACTTCTGCCCAAAGTAATTTGGGCTCGACACCAGTTCCTTTAAATCCTAAACAGTATGCATCCTTAAACAGCCGAGTCCAAGTCAATATTTGTCACGGCTAATGACCGTATGTAATTTTTAATAGGATGGTTCACTCACTAGAGCGCTAACTGAATATGCGTGACCTTTCTGGACGTTGACAGACACACCTGAAGTATTCCCCTCAGCTCTAACTTGTTCATTTTCTTGTTGTTGTAATTTGTGAAGTCTTTGGACTTACCAAGCTAACCTAGGACGTGGGTATCATATTTCATGCCATGTAAGCTGAAATGTGTGTTAGTATGACAATAAAATCGAAAGCAATTGTTGGTTTGAAAAAAAAAACATTTTTTTTTCCAAGATGGCGCCCGAGTAGGCAGTCGTTGGCAAGTGCTGTTCAAGAGCCTTGTGTTATTTTTTTCTTTTTTTTTTTTGTCTTTTGTTTTGTCACATAGTGTTGTTATGTCGTGTGGACCTG